TAAAAAGTTGTTAGATGGAATCAGCATGCGCGAAAACCCTAGTACACGATTTCTCAGATTTTTTGAAAAAAATTTTGTTAGGTGGTATATTTTACAATGGTTCCATATGCTGGAAGTTCTTACCGTAATCCTACAGTAATGAAGAGCGATAAATGATCCGCTTCATACTGTAAATCTAAGTTCAGCCTCGCTCTACAAAACGGTGCCTAAAGCATCTCGAAACACTTCGTTACAAGAGAGTTATTTACAACCAAACAGTAGGCACATTTTTTTGGGACACCCTGTATATTAAGATAATATTCCTTCAAAAGCTTCTTGTATAATATAAGAGACTCTTTTCTTTTAAGTGTAAGGTGTAGACAGTGTCTCAAGTCAAAATTGAACCTTGGGAAGCCAACAGGTATTTGTTTACGGAAATGTCCACTTTTTTGAAATTTTGACTACTTAATTTCTAAGTCTACGAAGAGAAATGTTTTAAGAGTGCTGTTGTTCTTTAATTTCTCTACTATACTTGTTACAACCTGTCCATCAGTACAAGTTCGGAATATGCATCCATTGATTAAATTTGAGTTACTCATGGAGGCTGCCTGCGTTTCGTTCTTGCATACGTCTCTTTCGAAGTAAACCTAGAGGTTTCCTCTTTACATTTTTCTTCTTTGTGGGCATAAATGTGCTCTACTGCTCATGAGTGAGGCGAGGAGCATGAAGAAGGGAGCGCGCTACGTGCGCGCCGCGGAAGTACCTATGGGAACCTGGCAGGGGTCCACACTATATATAAGCCGCCTGAAAGTAGGCGAGGCATCGCTCGCTCGTCCACTATTCCTTGTACTAATGTTAACCGGGTCGGTACACTATGCTTTCCCCTTATTATGTCTGTATAACTAGAGCTTCTCCCATTGAAATGAAGTAGGAAAGAGGAAGTAGGAAAGCCCGCAGGAAAGGTATGAATGAAATGTAAGTAAGGTTTAGTATTGTATTAGATGAGTCAAGACTTAGAAATAGTGATTTAGTCCAACCATCAAGAATGAAAGGGAAGTAAGTTTAGTAGTGGTAGAATTCTCGTTGCTATCTATATACAGGGTGTCCCAAAAAGATGTGCACACCGTTTGATTGTAAATAACTCTCTTGTAGTGAAGTGTTTCGAGAAGCCTTAGGTACCATTTTGTAGAGCGAGGTTCAACTTAAATTTACAGTGTAGAACGAATCGCCGGTCGTTCATTCTTACCTAGGAGTACGGTAGAGACTTCAAACATATGATGTCACTGTGAAAAAAGGGGCCGTTTAATAATTTTCAAAAAAATGTGGAAATTTGTGTAATAGGGTTTTTATGGACCCTGAGTTCAATACCCAACTCTTTACAAGATTGAGAAGCTTTCTAAACGGTGTAACAGCACTTTTTAGGAACACTTAAAAAACGTCTGCTACTGCATACCTCGCATAATTTTTTAATGAAGCATTAGGAAGAGTTGCGAACTTCACATTTAGAATCAGCAACTCTAGTTAGCCCAGTGTGAGAGTTTTCAGGTTGTTTTGGTTTTTTTGGAACAAAATATGGCCTTTCATGGCTCAAAACCCTCTTCAAAGTTTCTACCGTAATCCTACAGTAAGAATGAGAGATCGACGATCCGCTCTACACTGTAAATCTAAGTTGAACCTCGCTCTACAAAATGGTACCTAAAGCTTCTCGAAACACTTCACCACAAAAGAGTTATTTACAATCAAACAGTGTGCACATCTTTTTGGGACACCCTGTATATAAGAGTTAAAGTGTATAAGTCTGTGTGAATGTTTGTTCGAAATACAAATTTTTCTAAGTGGACCTAGGAGGCTGAAATTCTGTCCCTTATAAACAAGCCACGTCGCAGATCATAGGCTACTTTTCGCGGCGAGTCAACCGACTCTTTCTATCGATTTATCGATTTGTTTACTTAGATCTAAGGAGTAAAAGCTTATCAAACCATTCGTCTGAATTAAGATGAAGAGAAGCGGTACGTTTTATTCTCAATTTCTGCAAGCAAAACGCGGTGACAAGAAAAACGCTTGAAGTAGGTTTCCGTATATGCTCGCAAATGATGCATGCCTTTACGCTAAGGTGCGTAAGGTCCTTCGCTGAGGACGCCTCATATTCTTGACAGTGTCACGCTGTCACTTTTGGATATGAAAAACGGATCTACTGCCTATTTTTGCGATGATATTATGATTAACGCACAAAGTTAATGCCTGTTTGGACGTCTAATCGTAACAAGTCGAATATGTGATGAAAATGCAAACTGATTCGCAAATACCGGAACAGTTTTAGCAAGGCGCTCGAACTGTGCGCTTGCTGGGAGTGTTCCGCAACACACGGATCAGTATGAACCCAGCCTAGACAGAGTTGCGGACTATTGTGAGACCAAAGCAGTCGAAAATACGTATTGAAATAAAACTAAACTTACTTTTAGCATCGTTTGGTTGATTACTAACAGAAAAAAATGGGAGTTGTCACTTCCATAACATGAGTGACAAGGCATTGCAGAATTATTAAGCCACCGAATAGTGAGAGGCACAATTTAAAATGACTTTGAAGTTTGCGCAAATAATATGCCAACAGGTAGCTTTCACTTCGCAGTGTTCACGTGTGCATTCGTGAATTGGCATGTAGATGTGTGCACAGGGAAAGGTTGTACAAGGATAGGGATAAAACTTTATTGTAGTGTTTTCACAGGACGGGCGAAGCCGGGAAAACCAGCTAGTCATAAATAAAGATGTGTCTTCTCATTTGTTCTTCCATACGATTTGGACCACGAATAAGGTTTAAAACAAACAAACTGTACTTAGGAGTAGCTACTAACTGTGGCCTGCTTTTGGTAAGGATCATTCTGCCTCTCATCGTTGCTGCAAGCTATAGAAAAGACATCGTAAATATTTTTTGTCAGTCCTCGTTTTTCGGTGAATAGACATTGTTTGGCAGCTGCACAGCGTAAATCATTGTGCAAACAATAACTCAAACACAATATACAGATACTGCAGTTCTGCAGTTTCAAGCAGGTTCACTTAACTATCAACTATTCGTGCAACAGTCAAACGCAAAATTTCGCGCGCAGAGGCGCCTAGGTATGCTTGCGTCATAAGGGCAGCTCAAAATCACCTCTACTCCACTCCGATAGCCATAAAGCGTAGCCTTGTATCTAATAAATTTCACTTGCAACCCCCCCCCCCACCATGTAAAATTATAATTGCTTAGTCCTTCAGAATCCTTTTCTGCCAAATGTAGAAATGTGTACCCACAGAACATAAGGCTTTGGCCATACTTTGCCCGTGTTGCCGGTGTTGAAAGTGTTGCCGGTGTTGAAAGTGTTGAAAGTGTTGCCAGTGTTGAAAGTGTTGCCAGTGTTGAAAGTGTTGAAAGTGTTGCCGGTGTTGAAAGTGTTGAAAGGAGATCATCAGTCTAGCAGTTTCATTCTTTCTCGAACGATCTCACCGGCTGGTGAATACGTTGGAAATGGAATTGGGGAATGAGAAATGAAACTGAAATGAGATGGGGAATGTTTTCGCATGCAAAATCCTCAAACAAACTTTTTGGAAAGTGGACGGCTTGTGTGGAATAGGCAATCTCCAATATTTGGGAAAGCTGACGTCTGAGTAGTAATGTGTTTTAGTTCGAATGCTGCCGCGCTTGCGATTAGTGAGTAAAGGGCCTAAGTGAGGTCTGCAGCGCTTTCCTATTCCAGACAAGCCGTCCACTTTTCAAAAAGTTTGTTTGAGGGTCTTTTGCATGCGAAAACATTCCCCATCTCATTTCAGTTTCATTTCTCGTTCCGTAATTCCATTTCTGACGTATTCACCAGCCGGTGAGATCGTTCGAGAAAGAATGAAACTGCTAGACTGATGATCTCCGTTCAACACTTTCAACACCGGCAACACTTTCAACACTTTCAACACTTTCAACACCGGCAACACTTTCAACACCGGCAACACGGGCGAAGTATGGCCAAAGCCTAAGACTGTCCTAATTCAACATTTGAGAAAAAAGTAAAAAGTGAGATTATCACTAAACTTAATATCGTCGAGTCATTTGTAACTCAATATGCGCAGTGCGCACTTTACACGCTGACGAACTGCGAAACTAGAATCTGCTCATTTCTAGTAATTTCTTCTTGTTTTCCTTGTTTCTTTTGTTTTAGTTTGTTATATGTTAGTCAGTAGAACACATTTCTACATTTTGCTAGGCTAGAAAATGTTTTACTGAGAAGTCATTAGTATGGGTGCCGTCGCTAGTAGGTGCAATTTGGTGGTGGTGGTGGTTTGGTGGTCACTGGTGTGCAATTTCAAATATTAAGTTACAAATGACTCGAGGTTATACCGCCGATACGTTATGGCAAGTCCTAAACAAGCCAACATTCCGCTAACATCCAGGTAAATTCCAACTTCAAAGTATCTTTGTAAACACCACTGCCTTGAGGTAGAAATTTACATCAAGGTATTCCCTCAAATAAAATTTCATTTCAAGGTTCGTTGAGGATACTGCCACAGGATTGCACGCTGTTATCCAAGTTCAAGCGTTCGTACGAATATTTACTATAAACATAGTGAGACGGAGCTTACTGTTCTACCCACTTTTCCCAACAATCTTCCAATAATCTTCAGCAGCCAACAGTCTTTTCTTCAAAGCCTTTTTTTCTAAAGTCCATGAAAACATCTCGAAGTTGTGTTCTACTTAATGCGACAAAGCTATGCATGTTTCTGATAAGGACAAAAGACTCTTGGACTAATGAGATGTCTGATAAACTCCATTAGTTCCGAGCTGTCGTTTTTGATACCGATCAATTCAAAAATGCTTATTTCTAAGCTGTCTTCAATACTTTCTCGGAGTGCGTTACCATTCGATGCGCAACACTTGGTATCTACTTCACTCGAGATTTGAAAAAAAACGGAGTTCTTTTTCTTTGCGTGCCCGTCTCCAAGCAGCAACTAATCGTGAGCATAATTCATAATTATCTTTCACATAAAGGTCTCCTCACCGCCCAAATCCGATTGCTTCTACAACTTTGTCCGGATCAAGATTCGAATAGCTGACTACTTTCTTTGAAGGTTCAAGACTTGCAGACTGCGAATCAAATTGTTTCGATTTTGAAAAAGACCAAGTTCTTACGCTGTCTGTTCCAGCATTCATTGTTTCTAATTTGAAAGATGAAGAAGTTTCTTCTTTTTTGTCTTTAGACTAAAATTTGACATTTCAATGGTGCAACTGAATTCCTTTTTTATTAATAAATCGAATCCAACTTTATGATCGAAAGAAATCTTTGAGCTTATGCATAAAAATGACCAACCTTCGCCATACTAAAACTAAAATGAGGTGAGTCTGGCATAGTCAAGTATGAAAGAAAACAAACTAACATTGAGGGGTTTGTGAAGTAGCCACGAAAAAGCTTAGGAATGATATCCATTTGAAAACGGGCTTTTCGCGAATGAAACGCGAATAAAATGGGCTTATTCCATGCGATGCGATAAGATGTCGCACCCGCGAACTCATTCATTCCATAAAATACTCAGACATTCGCCATTGAGTCCCGCAGAACAAAATGAGGTGTACTCACAGAATGCCTGCGCGACTCCCGAAATCGGTGTCGGGACAAAATCAGTCCACCTGATTTTGTTTCGGGCAAAAGTGCGCAACAAAATCATGTGTCCCGACCGACACTTTCCGGACAAAATCGGAACAACCATAATGTCCCGATCGCATTTAGAGGATGCGGCCCACCCTCTTACAAACAAATTTTTGCGTCCTCTATGTCTTCTACATGCCTCGTTCTTCAATTAACTTGTGCCCTTGGTCTCTTCGGGCCTCATTTCTCACGCCTGTTATTTTTCTGCCTGTAAAACCCAGTCAAATGTCAACAAATTTATTAACAAAAACCACATAAATTTCTCGGCAGGTTATAATGAAATGGAAATGAAATGAATAAAAAGCAGCAAACATAAGGTTCAGGAGCCCTACAACTACGACACGAAGCTACGAGACAGATACAGCAAAAAACTAGAATGAAATAAATAATATTATCAAGTTTCCTCAATCACTTTAACTCATCTTTAACGCATTCAGTTTTTTCTCACTAGTTACGTGATACTGTCCTTCGATGCCTTCGCTGACGACACGCTTTTTTGAAAATAAAAAATTATTAACACTTCAAACATATGAAACAATGAATCACCTTTGAGGGAAGAAGCGTGGCTCTTTCAAGGTCAAAGTGGTAAGCGCGGATGTCTGCGCTGCAAAAGTACAATTTAAAAGTATCCTTCTTCTAACAGTGTGAGAAAACTCACAGCGCTCTCCCTATCGCTATTCTTGCATGACCGCTCCAAATCACTCTTGTCTCCGAGAGTTCGTTGGAAAATTTCTCGCGAGCGTCGTCCTCTTCTCCTAACATCCACCACCTAAACTCTAGTGCACATGAAGGTCTTCCGAGAATATATATAACTGTTAGGATTTCGCTCATGTTCATTGGGGTCCGCAGAAGTATCGGCATAGGTTCAAAGCGTCAAGCAAGAAACCTAAATTGGTCATTGAAACTAATGTACTTGAAGACAGATTGACCCGCTTATTAGGAAATCGATATCAAATTACCCGTTAGCGTTCGCTAGCGTTCAGTGAATGACAACGCGGAGGACAGCCTCTACCGCAACAGAAGAAAGACATAAAAAATAGACATGATATCTTGAGGAAGAAACCTCAATTTGATTACAACGAACAAATGAAAATCACACTTATTAAAGGCAGTGTCTCGGCAAAATTTCTTGGCAATTTCAAAATTTCAAATTTTCCCGGCATTCTCTTGCGGGACTCAATGGCGAATGTCTGAGTAATGCTTTAGCAAGTCCATTTTCAAAAGCCCTTTTTTAGCTTGTCTTAACCTGTTTACTCATTTTAGTAATATCATTTCCACTATACTAGTCAATCAACCAAATTAGACTTGACATTACAATGTCATGTGGATATCCATTTTACTCATTTCTTTACATGACACAAAATGTCATTTGTATTGATAACAACGCATTACGCTCAATTACTTCCAATTCAACTCAGAAGCAAAGTAGTTTCCACTTCTTTCAAGACTTCGCTAATTTGCCTTAGACCAAAGGCGTAAATTGTGCTTTGCGCAGAAAGCAAATTTTTGTTTTTACTGTTACTGTAAAAAACGCTATGCTTTCTTATCTAAAAGAAACTCTTAGACTTCGTACAACCAAAGAAGCTTCTGACTCGAAATCAGTGAAATTACAGATTTACAAAAGACTGATGACATCGCAGATGCTTCAGTTTAGCTCTTCTTCTCTTCTAGCACTAATGTTCAACTATAACTCTACTCATTTTTCAATTTTAATCAAAACAATTTTCAAACCTCCTCAAACGCATAATAAGAATAGTACCCAAATGAATGGTATTTTTCCTGCAATTTGCAACTTTTTTAAAGTAAATTCTATAGATTTTGAATCGGTTGAGCAAAAGTTCGTGCGTAAGTTAGAAGAAATTCGATAACTTCCCCCTCAACTACTCATGCTTTGTATTGAAAATAGCCAAAAAATTGCTCCTTACGATAGTTATTCAAAGAAACTTTTCTGTCTAGTTTCGAACCAAGATTTCAAAAACTGCACCGTAAGCTGATTTTGAGTCTGTTTGTTGAAAAAAACATTGGAATGTTGTTGTTCGGTTCCAAAAAATCTGCAAAAGTTTTCTTCATGATAGTACCTTCCTACGTTGCTGTAGTATCTTCAGCCTTTATAGAAATGCTGAAAAAATGTCATCTTTCAGAAAAAGTCTTTTTATCATCGCTTTTTCTTGACAGGAGTACAACTCAAAGACAGAAATATCCTAGAATTGCGGCGTTTGACACCAAATAGTGCTGTGGTTGAAAGGTTCCGTGATAAACAAAATATCGTGAAAAATGTCATACTAAAGGTTAGGTTTTTCAATATGACATTTTTCATGATATTTTGTTTCTTACATTCCCATGCGAGGTCAAGGCGCATGCAACGCAGCGTATGGATTATTGATATGCAGAATTTTCTCTAAGAAAGACTTATTGCGACTAGCTATCGGCTTCAGTATCTCTTACACTCAAACTCAAAACACGAATTAAGCGCCGACGTTAAAAGCTTAGTCCCCGAAAGATCACGAAAAATGGCTTTTGTATAACTATTGTAAAACGCAAATTCTCTTATTTTTTGAGTTATAAAGAACGACTTTAGGTTTGGGATTTAATGATTTGAAGAGTAAATGGATCTATTGAATTAAGAGGGCACTTCCGCATTGAGCTAATTTATTGAATTGTTAAGTTTGCTAGTAGATATATGAATGAATACAATCTTCCTCCATGATTTTCATAGTGTTATGAATGAGTTTGGAGGAAACGCTTATTTCGGGCTTTAAAAAAGAGATAAGACTTTTTCCGTTCAATTATCACCCTGAAACGGGCTAAGGAACACATTCCTTAAAAAATCACAGTCAAAAATGGGCAAAAAGGTAAAAAAATGGACTTACTCTCAGCACATCTGGCTGCTGGGAGTAAAATGGGCTTATTAAAAAAGTAGCGAGGAATGAACAAGGAGGTGAACTCCATTTTGCTCCATTCAAAATGGACTTTTGACGTCATCTTCCGCGAGCGATACCTGAAGTACCATTTGATTCAACTGAAATGGCATCGGCAAAGGCGGGGCTTCATAACCTAATTAAGGCTAGGCAATGATCAGAGAGCACTCGCGCGCGAGAGAGCAGGTGCGTCGCGGGAGCGAGCGGTCTTAATTAGATCACAAAACTCCGCCCTAATGGTGCCAAGCCAGTTGAATCAAAGGTTAAGCATGAATCATTTCCATCACACCGCTCTGCCTCGTGGTTGCGATTGTGATGAGATAAAAATCTTTGGATAACGCTAGCGAGAGCAGATATTAACCAGTTTCTACCGCGAACGAATAAAATGGACTAAGAAAGTCCGTTTTCCTTCATTATGAACTTCCGTGGATAGCATTCCAGGAGGTGCACCCGGATTCACATCTACTCAGACAATCGCCATTGACTCCCGCAGGACAAAAGAGGTGTAGTCACGAAATGTCTGCGCGACTCCTGAAACCGTTGTCGGGGCAATTAGGACACCTGATTTCGTTTCGGGTCAAAAGCGGCAAAATCAGGTGTCCCGACCGACACATTCTGGACAAAATCGGAACACCTGAGACACCATGATGTCCCGATCGCGTTCAGAGGTTGCGCTTATGTTCTTATAAACGGATTTCTGCAGTTTCTATGTTTTCTCCACGCCTCTGTCTTCACTACATTATGCCCTTGGTCTCTTCAGGTCTCATTTCTTACGCCTGTTACTTTTCCGCTCTTAAAACCTAGTTAAACGTCAACCTATTTCAGATACCACAATCACACCAATCACTCGTACCACAGTACGTGTGTGAGTACTCTGCGTTGATACCACTGCTTTGTGTGTGTGTGTGTGTGTGTGTGTGTGTGTGTGTGTGTGTGTGTGTGTGTGTGTGTGTGTGTGTGTGTGTGTGTGTGTGTGTGTGTGTGTGTGTGTGTGTGTGTGTGTGTGTGTGTGTGTGTGTGTGTGTGTGTGTGTGTGTGTGTGTGTGTGTGTGTGTGTGTGTGTGTGTGTGTGTGTGTGTGTGCTGAAATTGATGAAAAATTTTTAGAAAAATTGATCTGCGACGAAATTGCGTGAACTCTGCTCGAGGCCTTAGTCCATTCTTGCGATAAAATTCGCATTCGCGAAATCAATTACATCCAATTATGCTCTGCAAACCCTTCTTTAGCTTGTCTTGACTTTTTTTTATTCTTGTAAACTTATTACCACCATACTAGTCGATAGCTATCCAAGCTAGACTCAACATTACAGTGTCATTCTTGTAGATATTCTATTCCTTTCATTTCTTTGCATCTCACAAAAGCCTTTAGTTGTCGATGGCTATTGTTACACTCAAACTCTTCCATTAACTCAAAATGGAAGCAGTACACAAAAACCTTTGCTTTTTATGACTTTTTCTATAAATATGCTACCAAAAACATGACTTTGAATTTCGTAGTTTTCAGTTTCTCACATGGCATAGTGCGTACACTACGGTGGTGGTCTTCAGTCACAAGGAAGCGCAAAACAAAAAATTATTGGACCCTACATATTTGGAGGAAGAATTTTTTTATTTTCTTCACAAGATAGAACAAAAGCCAAAATTCGACCTAGTGATTACTGTAAACCCTGAGATTTTTTCTGGACGTCAAACAGTGTTACTGAAAAAATGCTGTAACAAAAAGATTTTCCCTGCAGAATGTTAACGAATTTCTTTT